GGCCCCGCCAGCCCGGCGGGTTTCGGCGGAGGTGAGGAGAGGGTCCCCCGCTTCCTACTTTGCTGGTCACGCGAGGGACCCCTCTCGGCCTGTCCCGGCCGGCCGGCCTGCCTGCCTGCCTGCCTTCCGTCCCTCATGTGGGACTACAGTTCCTAGAATTGTGATTTCGACCCCTTTGGAAGACGAGTTGTAGACGCTGAAACGGTGGGCCCCCTCCTGCCCCCCCCCCCGCCGGCAGCTCGCGCGCGCCCTCCCTCCCTCTACAGGGCAAGGCGTTTGATCAGCCCTCTTTGGGGCATTCGGCCTGTTTTCGTTTGGGACGCTGTGTGTGTGTGTGTGTGTGTGTGGTCTTTTGAGGTGTTTATATGGGGCGAGGAGGAAGCGGGAGGCAGCTGGAGCATGAGGAAGTGGGTTGAAGGCAAGGGAGAGACTCAACAGTGTGAGGCTCAGTTTGGGGCAAACTAGGAAAAAAAGGCCTCTTCGCCTTTCTGGTGCTGCATTTGGCGCTTTGCACACGAAGGGGTTATGCGAAATGCCCGTGGTCTTTTTCTCTCTCTCTCCGTCTTTCCTCCTCTGATGCTCGGTGGCCCATCTTCCCCAGCCATGCCAAGACTTTCCGTGTTGAAGGGACGGCAGTGTTGGGAAGGAGAGGGCCCTGGCCAGGAAGAAAAATAGTCACCACTGGTGCTGACACCCATTTGCTTTTTCTTGCTAGGCAGTACGGCCTGTTGCAGTGTTTCTTAAACTTTTTTCTCTCAGGACCCCTTCCGACTTTTAAAAATTATGCAGGACCCCCAAAGAGCTTTTGTTTGTATAGGCCATATTTATCAATATTTTCAGATTAAAAATTAAAATTGACGCATTTGGTGCCACCACCGCTTCTTGTGATGTTTGATGAAATTTTAATATTGTATTATTTTTCAGATTAGGCTGGCAAATAATTTTGATTTTTACCCCCGAGAGGGTAGGGGTCCTAGGATCCCACTTTATGAAACACTGGCCTATTGGACTGTCTTGCTAGTGTACTGTATAGAGGGAGAGCATAAGTATGCAATAGCAATAACACCCACCCACAGACTGAAATGAGGCCTACTTCTAGGTGGTGCAGTGGTTGGAATTAGCCTGGAGACTGAGACGAACCAGAGGTTGCAGGTGCTGCAGTAGGGACAATTAGGCAAGGAAGCAATTCAAAAACTAGCAGCCTCGGATCACTCACTCGTCGTCTCCACTCCAGAAAACTTTGGTAGCTCTTTTCCTGCTATTTGTCTTTGGGACAGCAGGGAAGATGAGTCCCCTGCCCTTAAGAGAGGAGGTAGATTCCCAGTGCAGGATCCACACCTGATGCCTTTGCCTTCTTGCTTAGATTGTTCTCTGGGTAGGAGAATAAGGAGAACTCATGTTATGGTATCCAGTTCCCACTGTTGTCTTACCCAAACGAAGGGTATGAGTAACATATTAAAAATAATCCTATTACTTGAGCCTTATGTACTTCTGTAACTTTTCTAATATGGAGATAGTGATCACACTCATATCTGAACTGCCCAGAAAGAAAGGGAAAGTGAGTATATAACCTATATGTATAACCTTTTCTCTTTGAATTCCACTGAATAGTATCTGGATTCACACATCACATCTTAGTTTATTTAAACATGCTTTTTAAAACAAGCCATAATAGCCTTGTTCCGCTTAGCGCAGTTTATACATCACATTAGCTCAAAATATGGTGTATTTATTTGATAAATTTAATAGCTGCCCATCTTACGTGTGTGACTCCAAGTGGTGTACAAAGTTAAAAACACAAAACAATGCAACAAAATAACCAGAAAAATAAGAAACTTAAAAAAACAATAAAAATAAAAACATTAAAAATTTAAAAACATAATCTGGTTTGTTTGGTTTACATTTACCATGATGTGTGAATGCATTCATTATAATTTATTACTTACATATATAAGTTTTAAAAAATGCCTGATTTCACATGGCTGGGCACTATACATAATAAACACCAGAATAATAGAGATAAATGATATGTCCAGAACATGCATATAAAATAGAATGCCAAACAAAATCTTACAGGAACTTATCTATCATCTTGACCCAAGGCCTGGGCAAATATCCAAGTTTTCACTGCCTTACAAAATATCATCAGGGTGGAAGTCATATGGATCTTTGAGGAAATACTGCTGTATAGCAGAGGGCAGGCACCATGACAGGAAGCCTAACAACCAGACTGTAGTTTGTAACCGGTGGACTATAGTTTAGCATTGTGTAAAGCAACCTACCGTGGCTCATGGTTAAGCTATGGTGTAGGGTGAGTAGAAACTTTAAACCTAGGTTGTAAATTGGGACAGGCTGTTGGTTTTGGAACAGTTTGCTTTGATTGGCGAAACTAGAGGAGATATGGCAGTGGGGCAGTGAAGCAAGGATGTCACCAATATGTGGGTCTAGAACTTCCTTATTTTCTCCTTTTTTCTGTTTTGAATTAAAGTAGTTGTATTCATGTTTTTCCTTATGAGCCATTTATTGTCTATTTCTGTGTTTGCCTTTAGTAACATTCTGTGCAGCTACAGCCATGTCTGAATAGAAAACTTTATTTCTTTGTGCAGAGCAGTGTCATTTTGAAGGTTCTCTTGAATCTGTAGTTCAGTAGCTTTTGGAAATATTTATTTATTTATTTTTAAACAACAGTATTAGTATGGTAAAAGTTAACAAGGCTCTTCCAAGTGAGTGGTAGTAAATTACATAATATAAAATGTGCATGTATTATTGAATCCAGCTTCTTAGTTTTTTACATTAGGGTAGAATCTCCATGACGATTTTCTGCTATGTACTGTTAGTATGTTTTAGGATTGAATAAGAATAATATTGAAGTGAAGTAGTTGATATATCTGTGAGAGCAATTCATTTTGTAGAGTTTAGAATTATCCAGCTATTCGAAAGTAAATCTAATGTTATATTAATTTTTCATTTGCTTTTTAAATCCTTTTTCAAAAACATACAGGTAGCCCTTGAGTTATGACCATTCGTTCAGCGACCGTTTGAAGTTACGATGGTGCTGAATGAAGGGACTTATGACTGGTCCCTGAAGTTCCCACTGTTGCAGCACCCCTGTGGTCACATGAACAAAATTCAGGTGCCTGGCAACCAGCTCACACTTACAGCCAGTTACGGCGTCCCACAGACATGTGATAGCCATTTGTGCCCTTCCCTGCCAGCTTCCCCCAAGCAAAGTCAGTGGGAAGCCGGCAACAAAGGTTACAAGTCGGGTAAGTCTCCCCTGCCAGCCTTTCTTCACTTGCACACACCGTGCCCTTCTTCCCCCCTTCGCTCACATACCCCTCACACCCTCTTTCCCCGGCCTCCCTGCACTTGCACACACATACACATGTATCCCATGCGCTCTTTCCACGGTCTGCCTGTGATCACCTGAACCCTCTTTCCTTGGCCTCCTTACAATTGCACACGCACGTACCCCACACCCTTTCCATGGCCTCCCTGTGATCACACACATGCATGTACCCTGTGCCCTCTTTCCTGGGCCTCCCTGCACTTGCACACACGCACCCCGCGCCCTCTTTCCCTGGCCTTTCTGAGTTTGCACTGCACCGACCACAATCTCCCCAGACTCATGTGGAGGGACTCCCCCATCCCCCTGTAGTGCCCCCGCACTCCTTACCCAGGACTCCCTCCATTTTCTGTTTAATGACCCACACTTGTTGGAATATGATGATAACCAGGACTGCCTGGATTGCCATCACAAATCAATATGGTCACGTGATGCCATGCTTTACGACTGCATCATTTAGCGACAGCAATCCTGGTCCCAATTGCAGTCATAACTCGAGCACTACCTGTATTACGGTAATTTGTATATGTGGAGTGAGTGTTCCATTTTTTCAAAATTCATATCTAGCATAACTATGCTTAGATTATGGCTTAGTTTACATATCTTAGAAACCAGTTTCTTGCTATGAGAATGGCCTAGGATAGGATTCAACTGCATGCAACCCATTTCCTTTTTAACATGACAGGATAGGAATGGCAATCTTGATTTTTTAACTAACTGCAGTATTGTGTGATGAACAAACATAGAAGGTTTGTTGTTGTTTTTAGTTGCATGGTTAGGGAGATTATCAAATTATAGTTTCAGATCCTGTATTGTTTCTAGCCATAGTTTAAACAGACAGCAGTTATCTAGGTTTGGATGTTATAAGGATGTTTGATTATTTTTAAAACTGAGCGTGTGAAAAAATAATGGGAAAGATAAGTGAGGGGATACTTAACATATGAATCTGTCTTCCTAATCCATTATTTGAATTGAGCCATGTCATTATTTGTAGAAGAAAAACAATGTTAGAGATTTTGGAGCAACAGCTCTTTTTAATTGGCCTGCTTCTGTAGTGGTCTGAAAAATTAAATGAATGTGATGTAATTAAAAGTGTCAAGTCACTCACACCAACTTTATATGTTTCTTTAACTTTTTGATAATAATTCTAACATGTAGCATTGGCAGTTTTGTGCAGCAACAAGATCTAATTTGTTGGTATATAGATACTGAAATTCATTTTACTTGTATCACTATTACTAAAATTTGGTTTTTAGTTAGAATATTGATGGTTATAACTTATTTTAAATAGTTTCTAATTTGAAATTTCTTTTATATATTATTCATATTCTTATTTTTATTATGGCTGCCTACTCCAGAAGACTCTGGGTGGCTTACAGTATCCAAATATATAATTAAAAACATATTAAAAAACATGAAACAACACATGGCAGTCTGGACTAAAAAGAAGCATACCAATAAAAGCATGACAGCCCCCCCCCGGGCCTGGGGACATAACCAGATCTTAGGGGCCTTCCAGAACCCCAAGTGGTGGTGGGGGGGTGCTGTTCCAGAGGACAGAGGCAGCTTCCTCTGTCCTGCAAGGTAACAGTGTTTAATTGAGGGACCTGGAGCACACCCACTCTGCCTGAATGTACCAAGTGGGCAGAAATTATTGGAGATGGGTGGTCCTTCAGATAACCAGGCCCTATGCCATGAAGGGCCAGTATTCTAAATTTTATTTTTTTTCCTGTGACAGTGATATTATGCTGGTCAAAAACTATAATAATTATAAAAATGCTGGTTTTATAATGTCCTTTGAATCTAAATTGTGATTTACACTATGACGTTGTTATTAAGCAAGTGATAGTAGAAAATGAAATGCAAGATATTGAGCTCTTGTATTCCACAATACATTCTGTGCTAATGCTTTAGTTTGTATCAAATTGTGCTTATTTATTTCATGTTTGCATTTCCTAACATAGTGTGGATTTAATTCTCAAGATATATAAGCACGTTGGTAGTATAAAAAAGAATCTAACACCTGTGAAACAAGTTCCATTAATCTACAGGAGCTTCACTCTGGGTTTAATTTGTTTTCTCTTTATAGTGCTCCCACTACAAATCAAATCATTTTGAAATTATGTGAGTTTCAAAAACAGCTTGATTTGATTGTGAGTCACCTGTTGCAAGAAAACACTTTTTTTTTTCAAGCCGTGTAGTGCAAGCTGCCTATATAAGCCTGAGCGGTTATGTGGCTCCTGCCCATAGATTTTTCTTATCAGTTGTGAAAAAATGTCAAAAATTAGATAAGAAATTTTCACATTATACAAATACAATGTAATACTTCAGAATCATAGTAGATTATATGATTAATTTTTGAAACATAGGAACTCCATATGCCCAAATTATGAAGTTTAGTTTCAAATTGATGAGGATAATTTTTTTAAAAAATCCTTTATTCAAAATATGTAAAGTACAGTATGTGCATTTAATACTGAAGGCATACTCAGTCTCACATTTCAGCTTGAATCTCCGTGCAGTCTAACTTTGCTGAAGTGGATGAAGTCAAAGGTCCCTAAATTCATAGATCTAGTAAGTAGAAGGGGTTTTTAAATGATTGTCTATCAAGTTTGCCTCAGCCTGTTAACAATTTTGGAGGAACTGATCATAGTTGTGTTGGTAATATTTCATCTTGTATAGTATTGTATTACAACAACATCTGCAAAGGCATTGAAAATGGGAACACAGATGAAGACACAAATAATGTTTTCTAAAAGATCTCCAAACAGAAGTTCCGTTGTTAAATTGATATCCTAAAAGATGCCAATGGATAAATAGTAATGGATTTTAGTTATTTATTTATTCATCAAATTTATATGGCTGCCCACCTCACAACAAGTAACTCTGGGTGGCTTACAACAGAGCTAAAAAACAATATATACAAAACGATTATTATTACTATTATTAAAAACTTTAAAACTATGAAAAACACAAAACTAAAAGAGAAAAAAATATTGGGCGAAGGGCAGATGTTAATTACAGTGGAGCCACCTCAATATTTCACCCGTCCCCAGGAGCCCCCAGGCCTGATGGCACAACCAGGTTTTGAAGGACTTCTGGAAAGTCAAAAGGGATGATACCAATCTCACTTCAGGGGGAGGATATTCCATAAAGTGGGTGCCATAGCAGAAAAGGCCCATTGCTAGACCTGCCAAATGTAGCTCCCTAGCCGACGGGACCGATAGCATGCCCTTTCTGCTGGACCTGGTAGGACGGCCAGATGTAGGGAGAGGCTGGTACCAGTGCAGCTCGCGGAGCAGAGGTGCAATGTGTATTCTTCTAGAAACACACATAACTGCTGAATTTGGCACCAGCTGAAGCTTCCAGATACTCTTCAAGGGCAGCACCATGTAGAGTGCATTACAGTAGTCCAATCAGGAGGTGACTAGGGCATGAGTGACCATGAGTAGAGCCCCTTGATCTAGGACCGGGCACAACTGGCAGAATATGAAATTGAGCAAAGCCCTCCTAGCCATGACTGCCACCTCTCTTCAAGCCTAGGAGAACCCCCAGATTGTGTACAGGGTCTATTTGGGGCAGTGCAACCCCATCCAGCACCAAATATGGCATACTCCTAGGACTGGCAAGCTCCCAAACCCAAAGTCATTCAGTCTTGCCAGGGTTCAGGTAAAGCCTGTTATTCCCCATCCAGACCATCACAGTCTCCAGGCACAGGGATAAGACATCCACACATTGCTTAATTTGCCAGGGGCAGAGATGTATAATTGGTAATTATCAGCATACTGATGATATCTCCCCCTATGGAGATGGATGAACTCACCAGCGGCCTCATGTAGATGTTGAATAGGAGTGGAGAAAGCACCAACCCCCTGTGGCATCCGACATAGTAGGGGCTGAGGGCAGGATGTCACATTCTATGGAAGCAGAAGTTGGACTGTGTCAGAGAGGATTCCTGAGAATACTATACATAGCCAGAAACAAATTGATCATAGAACAGATCAATCCAGAGTTCTCACCTGATGTACAAATGATCCAGGCTGATTTTAGCATACTTTGGACACATGATGTTGAGACCTAGCTTCTTTGAGAAGTCCATGATGCTGGGAAAGGTGGAAAGAAACAGAAGAAGAGGATGATGCCCAGCAAGGTGGATGAATTTGTTTACAGTTGTGATAAGTGTACTGCTGGAAAACATGAAGAGCCAGGTTGAGGACAGATCATCCAGGTCTTTTTTTGTGATCACTAAGAATTGACACCAACTCAATAGCACGTAATCAATCAATCAATGAATTTATATTCTTAATCATGATAATAAAAATATAACGAGATGGATTGGTCCTAAGAATTGCAGCTCAGCTGATATCCTAGATCAGTGCTCCTGAATTATCATTTTAAACCTTGGCTTGGCCTGCAATGCATTGCAAAGGATCCAATGGACTCTACCTTCTTACAGCAGTAACTGGTACTGAGAACAAGCAGGACGACCTCATCCTATCTCAGTTGTCTTATTTGTACATCTTAGAGACTATATCTGTTTTCTCTAATTCACCCACTCCAAATCAAAACAAATACCTTTATTATGTTTTTTGATCAGCTTTAACCCCCTCCAATTTTTTAAGCATGGTCATTTCCATATCTAAAATTAATTATCTTCTGAATTGAGGATCAAATATAAAAAAAAGGTTAGACTCTTTTTTTCCCCTTCTTTTTTAAATCTCTCTGTGCACTGTGTATAAAACTCCATTGCATTATTTAAAGTTATTCTGGGATTTAGTTCCTTATAAGGTCAAGGAATAAATTGAAGAAAAAGACTTAGTCAAATAAAGAATAGTGCTTAATTTTTGATCAGTAAGAAAGGGTGAATTTCTGAGCAGAGTTCACAGGTCAAAATGGTGATCCTTAATGGAACATTGTATTGCATATATGAAGAGGATGTTCTTAAACTATTACAGTTTTGCTGCAATTCAATAATAATAAAAATAAGTTTATATGCCGCCTTATTCCCAGCAACTCTGAGTGGTTTACAGATTGTTAAACAAATTGTTAAACATTTAAAAACAAGAAAACAACAGAAAACAAAAAATAGCATAGTCATGCTTGCCATTAAAGTGTTTTAAAGTCTCATGCTATATAGCTATGTTTGAAAAACTGTAACTTAAATTAAGGATTAATCTCTGAAACTGATCCAAATTTACTGCAGATGAAAGGGCAGGTTATATGTAATGAAAATCTAATTAAATGTTAGAGAACTGTTATAACCTTACCCTACAATTAAAAAAAAACTTTCATTTAGTTTCTTTTGATTTAATATTTTGGAAGGCTTGCAGGTATTGATAAAGCTAAGGCATTTCTAAACACTAAAGCATATTAAATTTTTAGTGCAAAGCAGAGGAATGAAGTCTGTTGTGAAGGGTAGTTGTCCTAGGCTGAGCATAGAATCACAGGAATAAAAGCTGTGTAACTGATTAATTTGATGTCTGTGTGATGCTGTAGTCAGCAGTGTGTGACAATCATGAGACGAGAAAGATGAATGTAATGCATGCTTTGCCTCAATTTCTTTCAGATAGTGGCCAGAAGAAGACTATAGACAAGAAAGATGGGAGACGCATGTCGTTTCAAAAGCCAAAAGGGACTATAGAATATATCGTAAGTTGCTGCTTGGGTACATAATTTTCAAGATACATGTATTAAAGACCCTGATATTTTCAGAATGCTATTTAAGGAAGCATGGTGTATATGATTGCCTTTTGCTTGTTCAGTTTAGCAGGCAGCTGATCATGTTAATGGGATTGATGAATACTGTTTTGAATCT